TAAGCGGGCTACCAATGTTGCGAATATATTTCGAATTTCCATGAAGACAATATTAGCTGCGGGGGCACTGGGCCTAGTTTATTAACTGCCCCGGGGTGCTTCTCCGTCTAGTTACGCCACCGATAGAAGTACTGTGATAATGTGTGTTCAATGCCTGCGCGAGAGGTGTGCAATTAGTGCGCCTGCGGAGGTTTCGTGCTTTGTTTTAGTAGCATTATAATATCATAAGAATATTGTTTGTTTCTATTCTTCATATACCTATGAGGATAATTTATTTGTGTTGGTAATCTTGTACTGAAAAATAACGATATATTACGAGTATGTAATTAAAGACCTGACGCGACCACGCATGTCACAGAATCTAACTATTTAATTAGGAAATCAATCATAAATATTGTAATAATAATAAAAAGATAAAAGTCTTTGACCGCGGGCTAAGACATTATACTTATATATCTTAGTCCATGCTTTTTACAATTATCATAAAAAAATCATTAAATTTAATTTGAATATCTTATCTAATAGGTACAACTTTGCGAAATAATAATTACACTTATAATATTATTTCAACAGAATAAACCGCCTGTCTCCGTACCCTACTGAAAATAATTAGAAGAGGTGGTCTCGAAATATAAAAAAATTAAAAGGAGCTTCGTCCCCCGGCGTCAATCCCCCCGCAATTCGAGCACTGCCTGCTATAACCAGAGAATCCCTTATTTATAAATTGCACAGGACTTGTAAATCATAACTCCGGTACTGTGTACATGTTATTGTCCATCCGGGCAAAATAGAAAAGTTAATAAAAAAGTTTGTCAACATTGTTAATATTATAATTAACACAGATCGATGACAAAAATAAACCGCCCGATGAAGTAGAATTCGTCGAAATGCCTAGCTTGAGTATGCAATTTGAAAAAGCTATACATAGACGGTGTAATTATCTATAGTCAGTGAGCTCTCTTCTATTTTTCTTTAATCACCACCCATCGATAATATTACTAAATATAATGCCGAGTGGAGGAGAGGCTTATATACAAATTAAACCGGCGATTATTATAAGTCACGTTAGAATCTGTTATAAACCACTTATCAGGTATATACGCCGAATATTTATTATTTAACGTTCTGATCCTGCTGTATTTTTACTTTGCAATTATTCCGGTCGTTAAAACATGATTAAAATAGAATCTTAAGACGTAGAAAAAAGCCATTATAGTGTTACTCGGTAGCTGAAATTATATAATCGCTTTACCGCATTTAAACCTAGCTAAACTTCTTGCAAGGCTGCAACAACAGTTGTAATATTATAACAATATTGACGCTTTGTTTTGAAGAGGAAAAAGTAAGTCCTTACGGCGTGAGTGGATGTGTTGTAGACATCACAAAATATGTTGTTACGCCCAACATTCGAGGAGACATTTTTGAGACATAAAACTGTTGCCCTTATAGCTATCGATGCATAATAAGTATAATTACGTTGCCACACTAACCTCGTTGGTAGTTTTTTTCTAATCACATGTTTTTAATCGTATGATTTTTAACATAAAATGTTTTTTAAACGTTTCCACGATTGATTGATTGATTGTGTCCAGCCATAATCAGATATTCAGCAAAATAATATCACAATATAGATAAATAATTAATTAGATAACTAAAATAATATTTAGAAATTAAAATTTTAGATCAGTGATTCTTAAACACTTGGTGATCATGGACCCCTAAGAATTTCTGAATCCCGACTTCCTGGTCTCCACCAATTTTGTTTTGAGTAACTTTTTTTTACAACTCTTGTGGAATCATAATTAACATTTCAATACTTATTTCATATTACAAATCACATAAGTGCATAAGAACTTATATATTTATAATTATTTTTGTTACACATTATTTTTCATAAAAATATAGTTTTTTATTTTTCAATAGAGCCACCTTCGAGGTGAATTTCACGGATCCCCAGGGAGCAGAGAACCACAGTTTAAGGACTGCTGTCTTCGATCATTAAAAAACAGAGTTTGAATAAAATACTGACCTAATATTTTCCAGATGCAGTTGAGAAGTTGACACTAATAACGTGTGCCAAGTTCAAGTCGTTCTTATCTTTTGCCTAACAAACTATTCAAGGTAAGGACTTGAATTAATTGAAGATTTCACTCTTGAGTTCTCATGTTTTACCATAACAATATGCGTGTTTATAACATTTTTATTGACTGAAAAGTAGTGACACAAGTACAAAAATCATATTATACTATTTATATAAACATATAATATGCACGGGATTATTGTATGCTTCATTACAATATTGAAATATTAGTATTAAATCAGATTTTCCAAAGTGGATCGTTCTGTCTAAGTTGTAAGAAGTTACCAATTGTCTGATTACCAACTACTGTACATTCGATACAAATTCTCAATTGAAATATTTCAAATCCCTTAAATACATTTTGTTTTTATATAATCACACTTCAGAATAACAATTCGATACTTATGCCACCTGCATTGCTATTTTCTAGTACCTATTTACAGTATTATGAGATAGATATCCATAATGTCATTATTCAATCTATAAAATATTGTAATAAATTCATTTTTCTCACTACCTTGTTCATTATCTACCATTTTAATTGAGTTCTATAACAAGCAGTTACTATATCTGTTAGGTAGGTATCTATAATAAATTGTATTATCTCAACTGTCACGATCCGCGATAACGTTTATTCGCCTGGCGATCGTAACGACAAGTGTGTTTGCCGTTCAGTTGTCGCTCGTAGTCTCTACAGTGTTGTAATATCGTCCACCTCAATTCATTATTGTGTAATAAAACATTAACCAAATTAAAAAGTATACAGTCCACTTTAAATATCGAACAATATCTATCTAATATCAATTATTGTGCATTTGTGTGATGTTTTTATTTTAACCAAATCCCGAAGTTAAAAATAATATAATAAATATTATGATACAACTTGCTTGTATAAAACACTTGAATTGAATAAAAATTAAATTGAAAAATACTTGATAAAGTCTGATTTAATCAATATTTTTAATATTATATTACAAGACAGTAAAAAAAAATTTGAATGAAAAATAAGTATTTTCCGTCTTTATAATTATAATAACACATCAAACGAATACAAATTAATTGTGCAATATACATTATAAATGAGAGCACAATAATAATATTATAATAAACCTATTTGTTAAATTCATTGTTTATTAGACATAAAAAAAAAACCCAAGTTGAATGTCATACTCATTAAACAGATTAATGAATACAACAGTTAATACCCTTACATAGACATCTATAGTTTTAAAACAAATAGTTTTTGGTTTGCGTAATTGCATCGTATATATATAAATTCAAATTAATCTTTATATTACGTTTCAATGAATATATAATAAGTCGATATTTACCTATATTAAAGTTATTGTTCGTAATAAAGTAATAATCGTGTTATTTTGATTTGAATGATTTGATAAACAATATAATTATAATTAAATTCTCTAATTTTATATTGATATAATATATTCAAAATGTCAAGTCGTTATACATATTGTTCCTTTATGACACAAGACAATTATTATTTAGGCGTCCCTATGGTGACAAATTATTGCAAGAAATATAAATATTGATAATATAAAGTTGATACAAATTAAAAACATTTATTCTCACCAATATAGCCAGATATATGATCCGTTTTGAAATTGAATAACTACTTCAAATTATTTTAATATATTATATGTTACAACAGTGTTTCTCAACCTTTTTACCACCACTGATCACTTCGACAATATTTTATAGATCTCGGACCACCTCAATTTTACGAAAACTAGGAAGACCTTTTTTTTTTTTTTGCTTATTAACAAGTTACAAGTTACAAGTATAATAAGGTTCCTCAATAAGTCGTAATGGTTTTTGCTATTTACAAAAAACAAATCTTTGGTTTTCTCGGACCACCTGTGACTGGCCCATGGTCCATGGACCACCGGTTGGGAAACACCGTGTTACAAGTTCATGCTTCTTGAAACTATTTTCAGTTGTCCGTTTGTGAAATGAAACATGCAATCGTCTTAGGTTAGGTTTAAAATATTATTTTAGTGTAATTATTCGACAATGTTTAAATTAAAATGGCACGTGCGATACACACACGTGCATAGTGTAGTACATAGGTATATGTACCCAACATGGGTGGTTGTCTCAACCAAGTTTAATAAATTCCACGAGTTGAGTAAAACGGACTAATTTTTACTTTAGTTTTTTTTAAGCTAATGCGATACTCGTAAACGGTTCTAAAATTTTTTTTTTTCATTTACGAATTTTGACGAAATTCTCGCTTCCATCCGTACACGTGTCCCTGTTCAATCGAGAACATCAACGTCCTCTCGCCGTTTCATCGACAATTATAATGATTCGCACGCTCAATCCTAACCGGTAATAGTCGTCTTTGAACCGCACCATTGCTTTTCAAATTAATTCGACTTTATTGAACAGTGAAATACGTTATTGACATTGGAATAGTGTTATAAAAATAACTCTTAATAATTCTTACCCGATCAGCTAATGAAAATTAGCCGTGACGATTCGATTCCACGGAGACTGAGCCTATCTGTCTATATATGGTGCGATGGCGAGGAGGGACAAAAATTAGACAATTGACAGCTGAGGCTTGACAAAAATAATTTCCGTTACAGCGTTTTAATTATATTATTACTTATTGCAGGATAATAAAGACACATTCCGGAATTGAACCGATCGTATTGTAACCCAAAAACAATATTATAATATTGGAACAGGAACCGAATTTAAATAGACAGAAATAAAATAGGAACCCATATTTTTAAATGAAAAACATCGATTTGATAACAGCCTAAGTTGTAGAAGTTTTACACTGATTTATTGTGGTATGTCTTAAAATTTAAATGGCTGTTTAATTTTGTATTTCATTTTGATATAGGTATGTATTATAATATAATTATTGTAAGAGATACTAAGAAGACGTATATTAAAAAATATATATTTATTTTGAACCATTAAATATCGGTTATGACCTTAACCCGTAATTTATATTTTTTCAAAAACCAGAACTGGAACCGGAACCTCGTAATGAAATAACCTAGTACCGGAACCAGGACTGAAGAAAAACAAAAGGTGCCGGCCCGACAGTCTCTGAATATAGATTCTTCTAGAAGTATACGGGTAAACACTATGAAATTTTTCGCAATTTTTCGCTCCGACCACCTTCCGAGTCCTAGCACAAGACACCGGTCGGACGCTACTTCCTCCATGCGTGTGTCGGGGTGACCAGCCCGTGGAGGCCATCCTCGTCGCGGAGTCCCGAGGCTGCCAAAAACTCGTGATAACATTGGAGCCACTGGATCATTTCGTAAGTGCTCCTGCACACAAACGGCCACTGATCGCATCGGCGGTGAGCTGGTCGCCTGTGCACAAAAATGGGTGGGAACAGTGGAAACGGTAGGTGCGGCTCACCGTGATGGTAGTAGTGGTGCCACCACACGTGATGGTGGTAACCGGGACCGCTACCGTGGTCGAAATCGTCGTCGTCGTCGTCATCGTCATGGCCGATATCGTGGTAGTCGTGGTCGTAGCCGTGGTCGTGGTCTCCGCCACTGCCACCACCGTCGTCGTAGTCGTACACGACATGGTAGTCGTCGTCGTCTGTTCCGTCGTAGTCGGGCACGCCGTCTCCATTGACCACCACGAACCGTGGACTCCTTGTCAAGCCGCCACTGACATTTCCGGAAGTTCGCTGCTCCTTTGCGGGCATCGGACTGAGGACAGTCATGGTTTCGTCGTTGCCACAGACAATTCCGACGACGATCGACAAGCAAAGGCCTGCCGTAACAGTCACCACCGCGTAGTCGTCCAACTGTAATCGTTAGAAAAAATTTGATGAGCGATAATAAACATATTATAGTAGATAATTATATAGATCCCGGATTCGGATGCGTGTAAATGTCACCACAAATGAGTATTAGGTAGAAAAAGGTCCGTGGTGAATTCTTCCCCGACAGTATGTATAGGTACAATTATTTAAGAGCATGTGAATTCCGTCTAAACTATTAATTAAATTTAGAAAAATTGAACTAATTATCAGCCACCATGAAGTTTTACCTTTTAAAACCATGTATATAATCTGATTACTAAATGCATGGAAGATATTATGCCAAAACGCACTAACATTATCTTATTTGCCGTATTTAATATCTAATTATTGAGCATGTTGTTCAATGAAAAATGTATTTTCTTTTTTACAGTCGTCCAAACAAACAATATAAAAACAATAAAACTGTATAAAGTAAACAGCAGCAATAATCATAGAGAGATATTTGAGTAAATGCAATATCGCGTGGTACTTACAGTAATGATCCATGTTAATAAATAGTAATTGGCTTAAAAAATACACGTCGATATTATATTTTTACAAAAGCCAAGTGACTCACCATAATGTTGTTACTTCGTCGGCACCACAGCGTTTAATTATTGTCATTCGCTCGCAGAAAATGCTACTAATGATTTTTGGACGACGACTGACGTTTTATATAGAATATTATTATGTCGTATTACCACCGTGTTTAATTGATTTTCCGTCGGAGTTGCAAGGTCAAACCTAAGATCACTCCACTACGACCGATGACGATATTTATGGCGATCGTCTCCATAATATTTAAGCTGTTTCGACGATTATTTTTCATTGCACTTCCTCAAGACCCCCGGTCACGAACCACTGATGATGGCTGACGTCGATTGCCTACATAAATATTATTTCGAGCCTAACCTAACGATAAGAGTAGGTTTCGACTTCCTCGTCGTACTGCGAATTTCCGTAGGGCTGAACGAATTATTTTAATAAATAAATAAATAAATAAATACGAAAGTCAAAAGCTTTCCCAATGCGATCGAAATCTCGTTTAAGTCTGATAAATGATTTGAGTTTGGGTCATTTTATTATTTTTCTTTTCATTTTATCTTTTGCTAGATTCGGGAAATTATTAAGTACGTACCTACAATTCAGAAATATCGGAACGATGTATAAATAGCATCGTGACAGTGCCCAGTTTACCGACGAGTACATCGAGTACAAAAATAATGAAAGGTGTATCATAAAATGTGCAATAACATATTGTTTATTCAACAATACATCAATTATTCTTCTAGCTAGTAAAAAAAGTTTACCGGAAACTCATAAAAGATGTTATAACTTATTAGTATTTGAAAATAAAAAGTTGATGGAATTTGATATTAAAATAAATTTCTATTCGACGATACATGGGCACAATTGTTTGTACATAAACTTTGAAATTCAAACTTATGATGAAGTTCGTCAGATGCACGTTAAATTATTTTCATCGTATTGATAGTTAAACGATATCCGCGTAGTTGACAAAGTGGAAACATTTCACAAAACTATAGAAACTAATCTTTTTTTCGTCAAAAACGGAATTTAAGTAATAAAACCGAAATACGCACCTTCCGTCACATCGTGAACTAGTTTATAATATTAAAGTGGAATAAGCCTATCACAAAGACCGAATGAACAGACAAGTCGGCTAAAGTTTCGTTTTTTGGTATCGTCGCTCATGTACCCAGACATGAATGGAAACGATATGAAATTCATAATGTAAACTATTACGTTAAAGAGCGTTTATTCCAAGTCTGAGGAACGTTTTATGCGCATTATTATCTGGCTGACATGTCTGTTTATTTAGTCATGCCTGTATGACAACATTATTATTTCGTCGAGTACATCAATGCATTTTCATAAATTCAAATCTCCCTCGTCGTTCATACTGCATAATAGTGTAGGTGGTTGTATTGCTGCATCACACTCCATACAATTTATACAAATCGTTTTTTAATCGTTTGTTATGCAAACTCTTTAATGTCATTCCCTGCTTACAGTTATTTTATTTTCTAAGATTTTGTTGCAACACACACGCACGCACACACACACACACACACACACACACACACACACACACACACACACATATATATATATAGATACGCACACAATTTATCATTGAAAACATGAAGATTTAGCGTACATTTATGGCGGTTTTACCTCTACCAGCGGAATCGCTCGTGTGAAAATGTTTTATGAATATTTTAACATAATTTACGCGTCGGCGATGTCTTCAGTTTATTGTTGTTAGCTACGCAGCGAGTTTCGTCTTAACAATTTTAACCGGAAAAAAACAAACACAACAACAACAACAACAATAATTGAACTGAAATTTAAAATTAGCAAAACGTGAACCAAATGAATATACATCACGTCATGTGTTATTATTGCAGTCAGCAGTCGTTATAATATATTTTATATTATATAGGAGAGACATCGCCTTTGTACAAAATAATATATTATTTTAGCCAGAAAGTTTGAAATCGTCGTAATTTTGTTCACAAAACACACAGCTGACATGTTTTTAATGGCATATACTTTAGATATTTTTCTTAACACTATATTATGTGTGCAATAGTGGTACGCTCCTTCGGCAATCGATGTGCTCACAATATAATATGTTAAGAGGGGCCCAGTCAATGCGACTAAACAATTTCAAATTCTGAAAGGTGTGCGCAACTATTCCACAGTTCTGAGTTTGAGAATGGCAACATAATTATGTGTTACAGAACTATACAATACCATACCGAACTCACCTTCAGAAGCATGTGGTTTGCGTATCGAATTGGGATATGATTTGAAAAAAATTCACATTCAAGGTATGCGACGTAGCGAGTGTATATTTTTTAACAAGACGACGGGAGAGCAGATTTGTATGTGACTATCAAAAGTACAGTAAAACCTGTGTAATATGGAAACAGTTGGGACCGGATATTTTTTCCATTTTAGACAGGTTTCCATTTAATGCAGATTGTAAAAAAAAAATTTCACTATAGATCTTTATTAAATAAAATTTATTATTTATTATTAATTCATTTATTTCATATATTTTACATATTATTTACTATTGCATTCTACTCCATAATTCTCATCCAATGTTTTGGACGTCATATTGAATTTACGTCTATACGCAGTCTACGTCATAACACTACTACGACACTTATCGATAAAATAAACTTATTGCAACGAATAATCTATATAACTGATATAGATTATATTCATTGACTGATAATTTTAAAATAGTACATGTACATATTTCCATGATATACAGGTACATGACAAAATATTGTTTCCATTTCCACGTTAAACAGGTTCCATCTTATTCAGGGAACGATGTATTTAAAACTACATTAGGTTCGCCGGGACCGTAACATTTTTCCATAAAAGTCAGGTTTCCACGTTATTCAGGTTCCATATTACACAGATTTTACTGCACAACAATTATTATATATTGTATAATCGACTCGGTCTCTTTGTAAGTTGTGTAATTATAACTCTCACCGCTTACCGTTGTGCCCGATATTTATTATTATTTAGAAATCATATATAATGAGTTGAGCTTTGGAGTTTGGCAGTGAAAATAACTAACAACTGTTGGGTATTTAAAAATCAAAATCCATTTTGGGCGACAATCGACCATTTCGATTCACGATTGTGAAGTTCGAACGAAATTCACCGGAATACAGGGTTGTCTAAAAATTGATTTTTTAATTTTACTATATAGTTTACTAATTGTTTTGAACTTCGTTCAAAACGGAGGGCTGTAAATGTTTCAGAGATGAAACCGTATTCGAATCACTAAGTATATGCACATTTACCACACACTATACCACTCATATAATATTGTGATGAAGCACAAATTGCAAGTGAATATTAATTTTAACTATATCGTGTGATGCGTCATAATATAACTTAGTGCGCATGCTCGAGTTATCGGCGTGAACACGAAATAATTGTCCAATCGACTTCGAAATACCATTAAACAATCGCAAGTCGAGTTTTGCTATTTTTTAATAATTTATGTATTTCGTGGGGACTAGTTCCCACAATCCCCCACGACATTGAAAGTAATTATTAAACCTGAAAAAATAGAAACAAGTCATTATAATGCAACATTTTTCTTATTTTTCACCACCCCCCCCCCCCATGATATGATATTGACATTTTTATATTAAATATAATCAGTATAAATATCAACTCATTAACTCTACCTATAATTAGTTTTCTAATTATTTTATAGCATTTAAAATCTGGTAGGATAAATCGAGGAGAGGAAAACTTCGTGTACCTACGTCATGTTCTCTGCGCGTAAACCCTCGAAATATTTTAATCGAAACGACTAAATCGGTATATTTTATAAGCTAACTATCACGGCGCACACCGAGCTTTGGATAAACAAAACAGTATAATAATAATATGCTCTGACGATATTGTAATATTGTATGAGTTACATAACATATCATACAGATGGTTGAAGTCGCAAAGTCTTGCAATGGACGTACGATATTGACGTAGGTAATAAAATAAGCGAATTTCCGACCAGACCAAAAATTCGTTTCGTTAGTTCCGGACTCTCCGGTTATCCAACGCAGACTTTGATATTTTGATATTATTTTCGGTGTCTTATATTATTGTACGCATTTATTTATAATATCGTATTATCATAACAGTAGTATACAAATGTCATTCATTTATTTTCCGCGCATTAACTTCAGTCTTTCTGACATAATATTTTGGTCTGCTCGAAATGTATATTATTGTATTTGGTATGGAAAAAAATATACGTCCTGTAATATATAAGACCCAATGCAAAATTATCAATTTTAGCTCGATATATATATATATATTATATACACGCAAGAAGATGCTCGCGATATTTAATAAGAACAAACAAACGTTTCCATTTCAGTCCGAAACTGCGGTCAGGCAATTATTATTATCAATCCAATTTAATCCACTGCACAGTCGTTGTTATTCTCCCCCCCCCCAGCTTTATGCCATCCGTCGCTGTATTTTTCGTCGTTTTTTACACGAAAACTGTACGTTTCTTCGTCGAGACTTTACAACACTATATCGTCGTCGTCGCGGTGTGTATCGTCCTACCATCTATGGCTCGCGTGTGGGGTTAACCAACCGGCAATAGTCCTTAACCTCCCCCAACCCCCCTCCGCTATACACGTATATGTATGAAAATTACAAGAGACCATCTCCGACGAACGTATATAATATGTGTGTGTGTGTGTGTGTGCGTGTGTGCGTGTGTGCGTGTGTGTGTGCGTGTGTGTGTGCGTGTGTGTGTGTGTGTGTACAACAGGGTGAGCACTGCCGTTTTCGCTGTCTACCCCGTCGACCTCGCGAGTGGTTCGTTATCGCAGGGCGAACGACTCGGCCCACCCCGTGCGCACATTATATTATGTTCGTGTTTCGCACTCTACGCGCATTTCCATATCTTTTTAGATTGCCTCCAGCCATTTTTTTTTTTCGTCTTTGGGTTTTTCTTTTTTCTACAATTTTCTCCGTTCCCCGCCCGCCTTCCGTCTCGTTTCCAAAAGTCTCAATACCACTACTACTCTTTTTTTCTCTATCTTTTTATATCTTTTCGTAACAAAGCGATCGTAACCTCGAATATTATTATTCTTCGTAAAATAGAATGCCTCGCGCATAAACTATACGCCTAATATCCACTCGCGTTTATCTATATATATATTCGTTGTCTATCCAGATACGCATAGTGTGTATAGTTTAGTATCGTCTTACATTTTTCTCGTTTATTTTTATTTTTATTCGATATTTTTCGGAACAAACATTTTGTATGCATACTATCATAATTTATAACGTTATATTATATCATGTCGACTACAAAAATCAAAGTCGTCATTTAGACAGAGATAATTAATATGACCATTTATTATATTTCGTGCAGGTCTGACGAACCTACCTGCTTTAAAAATTAACTGTGTTCGAGAAGAGACCGTATGTATACATCTTAATGACAATAGAGCTCTATTCACAGATCCCTAGTAGTAGTCCATAGTCTGATAATTTTTAGTTTTTGAACAGAATAATTATTAATGTTTTTATTTTAAAATGATGCATATTTTTTTCCAA